CTGCTTGGATTTCCAGTGGACATCTCAATCTTAACATGTGCAAGAATGAAATCTTAATTTTGTGCCACAAAGTTGCTCTTCCTGGAACATTCCCCATCTCAGCAATAGCAACTCCACCAGAAATTTCAGCATCGTCTTTATCTTGTCTCTCACTCCCCACATCTGATCTCTCACAAACCCTGTGGGCTCTACCTGCAACATACAGGTATCCTTTATCTTCTCACCGCCTCTTGCCCACACAATTGCCTCCTTGTGGTTTCCCTACTTCCAACCTTGCCCCCTATAGTCTATTTTCAACATGGTGGCCAACAAGTCATCCTTTAGAAATATAAGTTGGATCATGTCACTCTTCTACTCCCTTCTCACTCAGAGTACAATCAGAACCCTTTTGACGGCTACTAAGTCCTATGTGATCTATCTCCCGGTACCTTTTCTGACCTCACTGGACGCTCTCGCCCTCACTTACTCCTCTCTACACCCACACTGATCTCCTTGCTATTCCTCAAACATACTCTGCCTCAGGACCTTTGCACTTGCTGTTCCTGCTGCCTGTAGCATTCTCCCTCCAGCTTAGTAATTCTGTACATGTGGCCCTTGAACCAGCAGCATCGGCATCATCTTGGAATTTATTAAAAATGCAAATATTTCTAATAGCCCAGACCTACTGAATCAGAAACGCTGGTGGGAGGGGACAGCAATCTGGGTTTTAACAAGCCCTCCAGGTAATGTGAATGCACAAGAAAGTATAAAAACCACTGCTTCATATAGCTCCTTGGTTCATTCCCTTGATGGTTCCTTCAGATCTTTGTTCAAATGCCCTCTTATAAAAAGACAGTCCTTCCTTGACTCCTCTATCTAAAACAGCACTCCCCCGCCAAAGTAAAACAAACAAACAAAACCAGAAATAGACTCATAACAAATAGAACAAACTGGTGGTTTCCATAGCTGAAGGGAGTGGGGGAACAGGCCAAACAGATGAAGGGGATAAAGAGGTACAAACTTCCAATTATAAAACAAATAAGTCACAGGGATGAAAAGTACAGCAGAGGGAATATAGTCCATATACTGTAACAACCTTGCATGGTGACAGATGGCAACTAGACTTATTGTGGAGAGCATTTTGTAATGTGCGTAATTGTCGAGTCACTGTGTTGTAAATCTGAAACAAATATAATGTTGTATATCAACTATACTTCAATAATAAAAATAAATAAATAAATAGACAAATAAAATAAAATAAGATAGCACTCCCTCAATATAACTCCCAATTCCCCCGTGCCTCGGAGGGCACGTAACTTATTGGCTTATTTATTCCTTTCCTGTTTCTCTCCCTGCTCTATAGGTAAGCTTCCTAAGAATCTCCAATTCCTGGAATGGCACATAGTAGGCACTCAACAGTACCTGTGGCATGAACGAACACCCTCAATGCTCAGAGGGGAACCAGGGGCTCAGAGAGGGGCCAGGACTCACCCAAAGTCACACGGGGAGCCAGGCCTCCGGACTGACAGCTTGCAAGACCTGCTTCGCTGCATTAGGCGGGCTTGGCTGGTGGGCCCCCCTCAGAAGCGTGGCTCATTGGAAGCCCCCCCCCCCGCCACCCGGCACACTTCCCTTCCCTTTTAAGCTGTGAGTCATTTAATTTCCAAGCGCTGCTGCCTTTCATGTCCCAAGCTGTGTCCCTGCTCCCTCTGATCTCTGAAGCTACCCAGACCCTGGTGCCACTTGTCAGCCCCACCTCCTCGGCCCAGATCAGGAGGCTCAGTAATTGTGACTGACTTGCAAAGCTGCCTGGAGTCTCCGCAAGCACCTAGTGTTGGATTTGCTTCTTCTTCAGAAAGTGCTCAAATGAAATAAGCGAATTTAATTTCTGCTTCCTCCTTCCCCCTTCAGGCTTGCCCGAGTTGAGTCCCCCAGGCCTGATGTTTTCCTGAATGGAACATCAGTGTCAGTGGGTTGGGCGAGGGAGGTGAGGCAGGGACGGGGCTCCTTAGGTCGTTGCTCCTGATGCCGGGTGCTGGCGCTGCCTCCTACTCTCTGGGTGACCTTGAACAAGTCCTTGCCCTTAGTTGGTCTGTTTCCCCATGTGTGACACAAGGACGCTTGCCACTCCAAGAATCTGGGAGCCAAGGCCAGCAACTTGCTCTGCCATTGATTTGCTCTGTGGCTACGAGTACATTTCCTCCTCTCTGAGCTTCAGTTTTCCCATCTGTGTAATGGGGTTGTCATCATCTGCCCTCTCAGAGTTGAAATGAGCAAAGTGGTGATGGAGGAACCATGCAAGTGGATGTGGGGCTGCACCTCCCTCTGGAACACCATACCCCCATTACCGCAGCACAAGGAACTTCTCAAATGCAAGTTTGCTCATGTAACTTACCCGCGCAATCACCCTCCCAGTACATGCTTCCCTCAGCTCCTTCATATATGACTCCTGCTTCCTTCCCAGCCTCATCTCTTGGCTCCTTTCTGGTCTTTTCTATGTGGAAATGTGGACAGTTTGGGGTGAAGAGAGACAGGGCCACATTTTATTAGGCCAGAGTCCCTGGGAAGTTAGGGGCTTCACCTAGCTGATTTGCTGTGTGACCTTAGACACATCAATGTCCCTCTGAGCCTCAGTTTCCCCATTTGCAAAATTGATTTTTAAAGCCGCCCATGCTCTGAAAGTCATGGGTCTTTGCTACTGACAACTTCTAAATTAATCTCTGTAGCCAGCTCTCCACTGGACCTGTATATTGAACTGCTTTTTTCAAGATCTCTGCATGGCTAACAACTACTTCCAACTTAAGAGGTCTGAAACCAAACTCCTGATTTCCCTTCATCTCCCAAATCTGCTCCTCTCACTGCTTCTCCCATCTCAGGAAATGGACATCTATTTAATTGCCCAGGTCACAGTCTCGATAGTCATCCTTGAATTTCCTCTTTCACACCTCACACCCAATCCACTAGCAGATGTTTTCAGCTCTACTTTCAAAAATATCCAAAAGTTGACCTTTTTTTCAATACCCTTACTGGTACCACCTTGTTGCAAGCCACCATTATTTCCTGCTTAGGTAATTGCAATATCCTCCTCCATGGGCAATCTGCTTCTGCCCTGCCACCTACCCCCCAACCCGTCCACCATTTAATCTTCACAGAACAGCCATGGGATCCTGTTAAAAATAAGTCAGATCATGTCACTGTCCTGAATGAGCCCCTCCACTGACTTCCCAGCTTGCTCAGCGTAAAAGGCAGCACCCTAACTGTGGTCTATGTGGCTGCACAATCTGATGGCCTCTCCACTTCTCCTTGTAGCTCTGCATGTACTGTTCCCTCTGCCTGGAATGTTCTTCCCCAGGGCTCAGGACTTCACTTCTTCCAGGTCTCTGCTTCCATGTCATCTCCCCAGAGAAGCTTCCCAGACCTTAATCTGTCTGTTCACTTGCCTACTGTCTGTCTTCCTCAGCTAGAAAGTACCTTCCATGAGGGTAGGGAGGCTTGTCTTCCTTTCCACTGCTATGTCTCTGGTGTCTAGCAGGTCCTCATACATATTTGCCAAATGAATGAATGAATACACTCAAATAGATTTATAGCATGTCACCTGTGCACACAGGCTTTAAAGTGCCATTTAGCTAGCCATGCATGCACACATATACACACACCTGTGTGAATACACACCAGGTACACATGCGGACCCATGTGTGTACACAGCCTGCACCCACATTCACACCCTCACTGTCTCCTGTTCTCCCACCATCCCCTTGTATTCACCATTACCTCTGCTCCACTTCCTCCTTGTCCATGACTGGCTACCTGCTTGTTACCTACTAATCCACAGATTTAGCCCTATCTGGGGAAGGTGGGGCTGACTGCACCCTCCCTCAAGAACCCAAATACCCTTGGACTCTGACATGCAGCCGTAGAGCTGGAAGGCCCAGAGAGAGCTCTTGGCCACAGTGAGGCAGCAAAGGAATGTGGTGTCTAGGACCTTGGGGCACTGCTCCCCCTCCAGCCTGATTCGCAGATGCTTAGCCTAACATGGGGCAGGGTGGGGGCAGGGATGCAGAGATGGCAGTTTACAACCTATGCCCCTCACCCCATGACTGCAGCTTCTACCAGGAACCCCAGGCTAAGTGGGTCCTTGATGGTCAGATAACTGTCTATGGTCCCAGGTGAGAGAGGGCAGATTCATCGAACCTTTCTCTTCAGTGTCCCACTGCTGTGTGAAGGGGAGTTACTGAGCATGGCCATACCTGAGGTCTTCTTGCTGATGGTGTTATGGTGTGTGTTTTCCCTTTTCTGTGTGTACAATTATGTACCCCTGGTGCCCCTGGGTGTTTGCAGCCATACCTGGCTGTGTGTGACTGAATCTGCGTCTGGGGCTCAGCAGTCCCTGTGAACCTGTGTCCCCAGGTGGCTGGGTCCTGGGGGATGGGGTTTTCTGTGAACAGTGATTGAAGCTGTCTGCATGTTGTTGTCTCCGCAGTGCCACACCTGTCTGCGACTCCACTCTGGTGGAACCTGGCCCCGGGCTGGTAATGTCTGGCTGTGGCTTTTGCCTGTGCGTATGTAGGTGGCTATCTGTGCATACGTTCCATCTGTGTGAGGGGTTATTTCCTGGGAGATTGTATGTGGGCATATCGGGTGTGAGACCAGGTCTGGTTGTGAGGTTGGGCCTTGTTCAGCTGTGTCGGGATCCAGTTGTTTGTGGTGTAGGTGTGTCCATGTTCACTTGTGCCCAAGTCTGTGTGGGGCTGGGTGCAGGCGGACAGCTGGGCCTGTGTGTGTGGCTGCATGTGGGTGTATGCCAGGTCTAAGCATGTGGCTGCATCTACATGTAGGCCCACGCCCATGTGTGTGCCTTTGTCCAGGCGTGTTGGTGCTGGTGTGAGCATTGGGCTCCCGCCTAGGGTAGCAGCTCCTGCCTCTCCTGCCCCTCCTCAGAGTATCAACCACTCCCCACGCAGCACCTGGCAGCCCGCCTTCCCCATCACCCTGGCCATGGCCACCCCCAGGGCCTGCCCCACCTGTGGGTGCGAGCTCGGCCACGCTGCCGATGTAGGGGCCGTGCAGGAAGCGGGGCTCGCTGTCGTTGATGTCCTGCACCTTGATGATGAACTCCGACTCGGGCTCCAGCAGGCGGTCAGTGGCGCGGTCCCGAGCCTGAGCCCGCAGCGTGTAGAAGGTTTTCTGCTCCCGGTCCAGGCGCTCCATGGCATGGATGTCCCCCGTCAGCTCATCGATCAGGAAGATGGTCCCAGCACCTTCACCAGAGATGGTGTACTTGATAGCCCCGTCCCCCTCGTCTGAGTCCGAGTGGATCTGGGGAGGCAGAGAAGTCAGGGTGGAGGCTGGGGGGGAGCCCCTCTCAGCCTCCCACCTCAAGTCCCACTGGGGCCGGTTCCTGAGCACATCTCTTCTTCGATATACCCATTCTTCAGTGAAGACACTGAGGTCCAGGAAGCCATGCCTCACCCCAGTTCCACACCTCACTGTCTGGCCCAAGTTTCCCCAGCTCTGCACAGCTCTCCCTGCTCCAGCCTGTAACATACTTTCCCCTCTGCAGCCAGAGCTGCCTGAACACTGAACACACCCTCCCTTGCTGGCAACTCCTCTGTGGCTCCCCACTGCCTTTACAAAAAGCCCAGAGCCACCTCTACATCTCTCTGCTCCTGCTTTGAGCATCATATCCTGATTTCTCTGCCTACTGAAAGTCTACGCATCCTGTAAGGCGCATCTATTGCCACCTCTTCTTTAAAGCTTTTCAGAATCCCCCCACCTCACATTCCCTTCCAAGATCTCTGCGGTACAAAAATCCATCATTATCATGTTCAGCCTGCAGGATCACTATAGCCAGCACTTCTCAGACCTTATTAATGTGCATGCAAATCACCGGAGGTTCTTGTTAAAATGCAGATTCTGACTCAGTAGCTCTGGGGAGGGGGCCTGAGAGTCTGAATTTCTAACAAGTTTCCAAATTACTTGTCCATGACATCCCTCTGAGTTAAAGATCCACTCTTCCTGTGCTTTGAGCCCTGGAAGTTAGAGGTGGTATCTTCTCAAATGGGTAAGGGAGAGCCAGCTTCTGGGCTTGGCACGTGGTGGGGACAGGGAGTGAAGGGAGGGAGGAGACAGGGACTGCAAGTCCGAGGAGCACCTCCTGTGCGCCAGGCACCGTGCTCAGCAGTGCACACATTCACCTAGTTCAGGGCTATCAAATCATCCTGGTCATACTTATCATACTTATCTTGTATCAGTTTTAAAAAAAATCCTACAAGAATTCACCCTATATTACAGATATTTTTTTTCATTTTCCTACTGAGGATTCGACAAATAGGATGATTTGTTCAAGGTCAGACCGCTTGAGGAACTGCCTGATTCCCAGGAGGGGCTTTCCCCCTCCGTCAAGCCTCCTCAGGAGGAGCCCAGGGCCGGGAAGAGGCAGTGCAGCCTGGCCTTGGCTCCAGTGTCATCTCCCTGTGCGCCCTTGCAAGTCACTGTCCCACTCTGGGCCTCAGTCATCTCTGTGACATGTGGGTCATAGAAGTGGGGGGCGGGGTGCTAACTGAGCTTAAAGTCCACACAAGGCCCTTGGTACCTGCTGGTACCTGCTGCCCTTGGTGATACTGTATTTAACAGCCAGCATGGCAGGGGCGCTGCCAGTAGATGGTGTTACAGCAGGGCCCGTGTTAGGCCAGGCAGGAGCCCTTTGATGGCCACAGAACCCGGGAGAGGTCCGAGGGGCTGAGGGAGTTGGAGGGTGAGGGAGAGGAAAGGGACTGTATACTGCCAATGGGGAGCTGTTTCACTATTTTAACTACTGGTACGACTATACTGGTATGTCCTAGCTGAAAATCAGCCCTGCCTGAGACATAATAAGTATCCAATAAATGGTAGCTATCGCTATTATTATATTATTACTAAATGTTAGCTATATATAACTGGGAGTTAATCCAGGCCCTGCTAGGCTCCAGATCCTAAGTTGTTTTCACTGCACTGAGATCTCCTGAGCAAGGAACCAGCAGGAAGACCGTTCTTCCAAACAGAAACACCTAAATCCGGTCTCCCAGTGCCCGGGTCTCTGAGGCAGCTCTGAGCAGAGGAATGTGCCTCTGAGGAAGCTGGGGACCTTGGGCAGGTTCCTGCTCTTCTAAAGTTTCTACAGAGATGGCGTGTGAGCAAGAGTCCCTAAGTCCCCTCTTGGGCCGGGACATTGAGTACCCCAGCCCACTCAGTAGGATAACAGATGCCAATGAAGTTGTCACGAAGGCAGATGAAAGCCCACTCCTCTGCCACACAGGAGGAGCCAGGGTATAAATTCTGCTGGTGGAACTTTGTGTCTGAAAGGTGGATTATAGAAGTGCCATTTGGAAGATTGAATGGCCCATAAACATTTTCATATTTCATTAGCCGATTAATGGGCATCTCTCTCTTTTTGGCTAGTCTGCTGATTCTCAGCAGAAATTGCGGGGAGTAAATGGAGGCGTCTGGTGGAACCTTTCTGGGTCCCCGTCCTGTTATAGATTGCCCCAATTAATGCCCGTCCTGGGCTCCACTGAGAAGCCTTCTTCCTGTCCAGTTACTGTTAATAGATTTCTCATAAGTGGCTGGATTGTAAAAACCTCATAACTCAGTTTAATGCCCCCAATAAAATTATCTCAGGATGTCGGCCCTGAATCATCGGCAGTGCCGCGGATGAGAAGACCTGTCTCTCCTGTTTGCTGTTTATACTCCCCTCCACCTTTGCCAGGGGAGATGGAATAGGAGAGGGAGTGACCTTGTTGCCTCTGGGGGTGCCTCCACCCACTTCCAGGTCAGACCTATTATCTGCTTATTTAATCCACAAACATTTCTGAGCCATGTGGCAGAATAGAGACCATTGTGGGGTGCTTAACAGCTATAATCTTATGAGTCTTCATCACCACCATATGAAACATTGTTATTCTTCCCATTTCTCAGATGAGAGAACTGAGACACTGAGAAGGGGAATCTTTGGCTCTGTCACACAGCTAAGGGCAGGAAGTCGTTTCCTGACCCCATCACTCACTAACGTGACCATGGATTTGTTCATTTTACCTCTCTGAGTGTGTTTGTCCACTGGAGAAATCAAGTCCCATCTGGCCCAAATGTGCTGAGGATTAAATGAGAGCACGTTTATATAATGACCTAAACACTCTGCGGATGGTTGGTTCCTTTCCTTTCTGTCTCCTTGATCTCCATCATATCCTGGCAGCCCTTGACATTCTAACTCAGACCCCAGACAGGGATCAGCCCCGAGTGAGGAGCGGGGAGGAGGGGGTGGAACCCAGCCGTGATGTCACTGATGTTCCTCTGTGGAGAATGATACATCACTCACCCTGGGGCCCAGTGGCTACTGTCTGGGGACTGCAGGGTCAGGGTGGCCTGGGCAGGAGCTGAGAGCTGAGAGCTGCAGATTTGGGTGGGGCTGGGGCTGTATGGCCCTGAGAAAGAAGCTACCCTTCTCTGAGCCTCAGTTTCTCATCTGTAAATGAGGCTGATACTGCTCTCCCATAGGTTCCAAAGATTCATAAGATAGTATGTGGAAGCTCCTGGCACATAGTAGGTGCTTGATGCAGATTAATTCCCTCTCCTTTTCCCACTGTGGTCTCAGGAAGGATTGAGGGTCACCTATTTCATCCCCCATTTTCTGACACAAGGACCATAGGCTTAAATCCTGACCCACTGGAGATACTTGGGCCAACATCCAATAGCTTCTCGTCTTTTAAACTCAGTTGGTTTCCTCCTTCAGGCAGCCCTCTCAGAGGGCTTCCATTTGGTTGGAGAGCCCTCACCCTGGTTGGTACCCCTGCCCCATGCACACTCTCTGTGTTCCACACTGCCCTGTCACACCTCAGTGTTGCATGTCTGTGTCCCCAGCCATCATGGGCCTCGGGGCACGGACTAACTCTGATCTGTCGCCATCTGAACTCCCCACGCCTGGCATCCACTAGGGGTCGTCAGAATGCCTGCAGAGGAAATATAAGGGGAGCGGGAGAGATGCGTGTGTGTGCATATGCATGTGTGTGTATTATAAGCATGTGTGCGCATGAGAATGTGAGGCTGTGTGCCCCTTGAGGACCAAGCATATGGTTCATTTCCATCTCCCCAGCACCCAGCACAGGGCATAGCACCAAACATACTGAATAAATGAATAATGAAATATACAACTGTCGTTAGAATTCCCCAGCTGTCTTCTGGGATTTCTGAAGGATCCCAAGTACACAAGAGCTAGATTAGGGAGGACTGGGCACACTTCCACACCCTTTACCATTACCTCATCGGTATCTCATAATGACCTTGTGAAGCAGAGATTATTCTCTCCCCATTGTACAGATTGGCAAACTGAGGCTTAGAGATGGCTGTGTCCTATCTAAGGGACACAGCTACCAGAGGCCCATTTGACTCCCTGTCCTGAGTTCTTTCCATTACATCAAGTATGAACAGCCCCAGAGGAGATTCTCCCTCCCCAGCCCCAGCCCTAGATCATAAACAACACAAAAAACACAAGAGTGATGGCCTCTCATCCCAGGGAGCTGAAAAATGGGATTTACGAAGCCATTAATTACTTCCTCCTAATTAAATCAAAATTAAATGCGAGCAGAGGTACGTTTTCCTTATTAAAGACAATTAAATGGACAGAGCAGCTACGCAAATAAAACGAATCCAGGATTTAAATGAAAAGCAAATAAAATAAAAAGCCTCCCCCAGAATGAGGGGGTCTGCTCACGCCTGTGCTACTAGTAAACCAGGAGTTCATCAATTTCCTTTAAATATTAGCAACTTAATTAAATCTGCTCTCCTCCCCACTTTAATCCTGCCGTATATCTAAAATAGATCTCACCGCCCACAGGAGTTGGTCATAAGTGCTGACCCCATAATTCTATCTTTAAAAAAAAAAATTTAAAAATCCTACAAAATCCACATCCAGCTGACAGAAGCCTCGGGGGAAATTACAGTTCGGAAAAGGGATTAGTCAAAGTGCCCAGATTGTATGGAAATGCTGGGAGGTTGCTTTGGGGGTGGGTGTTGTGGGAAGGAGAGGGGAAGAGGTGGGTCAGGCAGCTGCGGGGGGGCTGGACGGCAGAGGAAGTCCCTGGAGTGGGGCCTTGGCGACAGCGGCTGGGCCCAGCGGTTCCTGCGGGTGCCAACAGGAGCCTGGCAGGAGTGATGGAGAAGGCCGTTGTAAAATAGGTTACCGTTGGGCGCCCGGGGTTCACTAGGGGGATAGCGCTGTTGCTAAGCTACCTTTGGAATTCGACAAGGATGGATTCTCCCAGCAGCTCCCTGGGGTGGGGGACCAGGAAGCAGTGAATTAACTGAAACCGTGGAGAAGTCCTTTCTCCCAGCAGAGTGAGAAGTGTGGTATGAGCGTGTGTGTCCATGCATGCGTGTGCACACACAACCAATTGAACAAACACGGGACTTTGCCAGAAAGGGGACAGGTGGGTTTTAAAAGCCCAAGCTCATATTCCTAGAGTAAGGAGTGGGCTCGGGCCCACTTGCCCCCACTCCATGGTAAGAAACTAGGACATTAGGTTGCTGAGACTTTGAGGATTTGGGGCAGGGGTTTGTAATGTCCATGTAGATGGTGAACTCAGGGGGGTGGAAATATCAGGTGGGACCTCTAGTAATAAAAGCTGATACTTACTGAACGAATGCCAGGGTCCAGGCACTCTTCTGGGTTCTTGACATGGGCTAACTCACCGAATCCTCACCACAACTCTTGGAGGAGGGGCTAGTAACAGCGTCACTCAACAGATAAGGAAGGGGAGGCACAGAGAGGTTAGACAATGTGCCCAAGTTTCAGAGAGATAAGATGCAGCACAGCCGTATTTGAGCCCTGGCTGAATGGCTCCAGATGGCTCCCCCAGACCACACACCTTCTTTAAGTAACTGTGCTTTGGGCAAATGTTTGCAAGGAGATGGAAACGTCTCTTCTCTCACTGCCTGGAGTGCCTTTCTGGAGGCGACCCTGAGAGTGCGAGAGGAGGGGCTCTGGGTGATGATGATGGAGGGGATTATAAACCCTCAGGGCAGCAGTGAAGCAAGCCCCTCCCAGCCACTTTCGCATAGCAGACTCTTAATACGCGCTGGGCCTGGAGCTGGTGTCAGGAGACCTGTTCTCTTGGGTTGGTTCTGTCATCTGGGCTAGTTCACATCTTGACACGATGTTCTCTGCCTCTGGCCAACCCTCAGGGCAGCAGTGAAGCAAGCCCCTCCCAGCCACTTTCGCATAGCAGACTCTTAATACGCGCTGGGCCTGGAGCTGGTGTCAGGAGACCTGTTCTCTTGGGTTGGTTCTGTCATCTGGGCTAGTTCACATCTTGACACGATGTTCTCTGCCTCTGGCCTCAGTTTCCCTGCCTTATAATGGACTTACCAGGGCCCTCTCATCCCCAAAAGACTGTGGTTAAAGGAGGAAGGGGCGGGATTCCACGCATGCTGTTTAGACGGTAATGGCTAGGTGGCTATAGATGAAAATGTTGAAGCAGCAACTGCTGTCGCTCATCTTTTCAGGATGTGGGTGTATGGGGAGGCCTTCTCAGAGCCCCAGCTGCTGCGCAGACAGCAGAGCTGAGGTGCCCAGTCAGCCTCCTGATTCTCAGACTCATTTAAGCACACAGGAAACTCCAGAGTTTGTTTCCCTGATCTCTGCTGACCACAACTTCCTAGAAAGCTGACTGTCCTTAGCAGAAGCCTGAGCATTGTCCCTGGGCACCACCCTGCTTTTCACACCCTGCAAGCACCCTCTACCTCAACATCTCAACTGCGACAAGTCTCTGAATAAGCTACAGTCCTCTTCCCCATTAGCCTGATGAACTTCTATTTGTACATCAAAACCCAGCTTGGGTGTTTTCTCCTCCATGAAGCCAGCCAACAGATACCATGTATGGAATGCCTACTCAGTGCCAGGCGCTGACCTGTGGAACTTTCTATGCACCAGGGTGCCTGTGCCACTCTGAGGCACCCCACATGACAGAGACTGGATCTTACTTGCCTCTGCCTCTCCAGCGTCACAGCCATGAGGGTCTCGGGGATTGAATGGATGAAAAGTCCTTCTCAGCTCTGTATACTCATAGCACACAAAGCTTTAGCCACATGAATCAGCATTTACTCAGTTTGAGAAAGTAGCTTTCATTCATTCATTCATCCAATGAACAGTTTGTGAGCAAGTTCTGTGCTAGGCACTGGGGAATTAATGGTGAGCAAAACAAACACAATCTAACAGAAAAGACACATCAATTGCATAATCAAACAAACACACGTGCAATTAAGAGTTATGAAGAAAAGACCCAGGGACCTCTGAGGGCACACAACAGGGAGGATGGCCACATACAGGGGGATCTGCCCAGCCTTTTGTGATCAGGGATCATTCATTCATTCATCCAATGAACAGTTTGTGAGCAAGTTCTGTGCTAGGCACTGGGGAATTAATGGTGAGCAAAACAAACACAATCTAACAGAAAAGACACATCAATTGCATAATCAAACAAACACACGTGCAATTAAGAGTTATGAAGAAAAGACCCAGGGACCTCTGAGGGCACACAACAGGGAGGATGGCCACATACAGGGGGATCTGCCCAGCCTTTTGTGATCAGGGGAAGTGGCATTTGAACGGAGACCTGAGTGTGAGTACAGTCAGTGGGCAGAGCAGTTCAGGGGGAGGAAACAAGCCCAGGCAACAGGGCAGTGGTAGGAGCCCGTGGGGCATGGGAGGGGCCCTCACAAGGGCATCAGAAGGGCCGTGTGGCTGAAACTCAGAGAGCGTAGCAGTAGACGAGGCCGGAGGGGGAGCCAGATTGTGGGCAATGGCATGGAATTTGGGCTTGACCCCAACTACATGGGAAGCTATTGAAGAATTTTAACCAGAGTGTGGGGAGTATGTACATGACACTGTCAGATTTGCAAACTTGTTTTTATATTCTAGACACATCTAACTACAAGATGGATTGGGTTTACCTACTAGCACTCTCTGTGCTAAGATGCAAAGGGGAGAGGGACTAGGGAAGCACATGGGCCCGGATAGGGGAGCAGAGTGCGTGACTGTCCTCTGCCCCTGGCCAGGCGCAGCTGCGCAGCTGTGAGGAGGCACCAGGGACTGGAATTTAGAGGAGTAAGGGAGCCGGGGCCCCTTGCGTCCACCAGCGGGTGTCTCTGGGGTTCTGGGCATGGGCGGGCGGTGTGGGGTCCCACTGTACCTTGCCCACGTACAGGGGCTCGGTGCCCGTGTACTCCTCCACCACGAAGAACTGGTTCCAAACCCAGCCTCGCTTCACGCGGCCCGCCCCCAGGGCGCCGTCCTGCCGGGCCCCAGGTGCCGACGGTGTAGGCGTGCCTGCTGCCCACACGCATCCAAGCAGCAGCAGCGCCGGCGACAGTGTGGCTTCCACCCAGAGCCCCCGACCGGCAGGCCCTGGCCTCATGCTTGGCCTGCGCGGGCCGGGGCCCAGGAGCGTGGACGGCAGGCACCGCGGAGGGTCAGCGCCGCTGCGTCACATGGTGGCCTCGGCTCAGCTCGGCCACTGGGGCGTTGCCCCCGCCCCCGATGGGGCTCCCGCACGGGCCCTGGGCCCTGAACGCCGCGGGGCTGGGCTGGAGGGGGAGGGGCGCGGCCGCAGCCGCGGCATGGAGGGCCCGCGGGTCCCTGCCCGCTCCCCCTCGCGCCGCGGCCAGATCACCAGGCAGCGCCTCCGTGGCTCCGGAGTCCGGTGTGTGCCATGGTCTTTGTGCAACCGGGAGCTGGCCGGGGCCTGGCGGATCCTTGCAGAACTAGGGCCCAACCCGACCAGGAGTCTGTGAGAAAAAAGATCGGAGGAGGCTCAGTAGGGGCCGGGCAGGTTGAGTCTATCTTTTGTTCTTCAGGTACTAGTTAAACACCTATTGTGACCCACAGTCCCTACCTTCTAGGGCCCATATAGTCTAGTAGTCCTGCCCCCTCCCCTGCATCCTTCCTTTCAACTCCCAGCACACCCCTCTCCTCTCCCAGACTCCCTGCCCCTTTCTCCCAGCTTCTTTGCAGTGGTCCTCCACCATCTCCCATGCCCTAGGAGCAGGGACCTTGGCTTCCCCTGCTCCTAGCTGACAACCTCTCCAGCCCAGCCCACCCCCTGGAAACCCCTCACCCCAGAAAGCAATCAGGCCCTCCTAGAAGGGGTCTTCAAGAGCTCCTAAGTCCCAGACCTCCTGGGTGCACAGATCAGCACCCAGCCTGCCATCCACAAAGCCCCCATCCCCCACCCCCCAGCACATGGAGGTCATTGCACCCACAGCAGGAGCCCAGGGAGCGCCCTGGGAGCCCATGCCAGTCCTGCCATACCCCGTTTTGGGGGTGGAGCACCTGAGTCCCAGAGGGCCTTGCTCGGAGGCCCTGTGTCTTTGTGCAGGGTCACAACCCCTCTGAGCTTGCCTGTGGTGTCTCCACATTCCCCTAGAAAACCTTCCTTTCCCAGAGTCTGAGAGACACTTCTCCTCCCCAATCCTGGACCAGCACTGCTGTCCCCAGATCAATCCATCTCTCCTTCCCTCCCTCCACCAGATCCTGCTTTCAGCAAGAAAGGATATGAGGGGCTAACTCCTACTCAAGCCATAATGATGAATAATGGCTTAATGTGGGTGTTTACAGGGGACAGCAATGCTGCTTGAACGGCAGAATTTCAGGCACTGACAAGTGAGTGGAGGTGAGGGGCTCAATTCCCACCCCTCCCTCCCCAAGCCTAGTGGAGCTCAGCTCGACAATTCAATTCTGCCAAGCTTCCACTCTGCCAGCTTTGGGCTGGATACCATGCTCACAGTTTAGTGAGGTAGGAGACAAGACCCGCAATAACAACCCAAATGCGAGATATGTGATCAGGGCTACAGGGTGTGACCTGAGTCCTGCAAGGCTCAGGGAAGGGAGGGGGCACAGATGTCAGGAGGGACGAGGTTGTGGGGAGGGAGTCAGGGCTGCTTCTTGAAGGAGGGGGCATCTGAGCCAGTGGGAAGAAAGGCATGGGCACTCCAGCAGAGGGGTGTGCAAGCAGGCTGGGCGTGGTTTGGCTAGTGTGGGGGGTTAGGCTGGAAACGTGAGGTGTGTGACTGGGCAGAGGATCCGAGAGGGACTTATCTGGCCGCAGCCACGTTCTCCAATGGATGAAGTAGCTGGACTCTGGGGCAGAAGAAACGCAGATCACTTCCTGTGACCCAGCACCATCGTGGGCCATTCACATGCCTTTAACTCACTAATTCATGAGTTGTGAGTCACTACTGTGAAAGTCGGTCTTATACCCATTTTTCAGATGATTGACTCCAGGGGCTCTTTCCCACTATTGGCTCCAGAATTTCTTTATGGAAGGGGTTTCGGGGTCGGGAGTCATCTGCTGGAAGGTGGGGGTGATGGTAAGGGGGTTAAAACTGCATTTCAGCATAAGGAAGAGAAGATATCAACAGTCCTTAGGGAAGAATGGAGGCCAGGAGTCCTGATCACACTGCCCTGCTTTCCCTCTTGCCCTCTCTGAACTACTTGAGGCCAGGAGGACCTGCAACCTTGCTGTAAACAGCCCCAGCACCCTCAGCCCACCCCACCTTATACACTCTATGTGGCCCAGCCATGAAGGCAGAGCCAAGGGATGCTGGCAGACCCTCCCTGACCCTGGTGGCTGGGCTCTGCAATCCCAGGGCTGAGCTGCTGCCTCTGGGGATCCGACTTTGATTCCCCACATTATGGGCCTGGGCTGGTCGTAATGAGTCTGGAGTTATGGGTGAGGAGGAGGCGCTGCTCGAAGCCTTCATTTCCTGGAGCTTATGACATCCCTGCAGGCGCTGCAGGAACTGTTCCCCCGACTCCATCAGGCAGTTCCAGGGCCCATCACAGCCCTGCAGGGTCTCAGAGGGGAGGGGCTGGTGGAAGGGAGAGTGTGGGAGGAGGCTGGGCTGCTTCTGGGGAGGGCTGTGAGGGGTGCAAGAGGTAGGAACAAGGGGAGAGCCCCCAGTGTTTGCAAGTACCCTTTTGTTGCTCTCCTTCCTTCCCTTTATTTCTTTCTTTATAACACCTTTTATAAGCAGGGCACACACTAAGAATCATTCATTCATTCATTAAACATTAGCATTTACTACGGGGAGGCAGAAATACATTTCATTCATTCGTTCAACATACTTTAAAAATCATTTCTCTGTGTTAAGACAGCAAGATGCAATCAGCTGCTCAGCTGTATACAGAAGAGAGATGCCTTTCTTCTGCTGTTCATTCACTCTTTTTACAAATATTTACCAAGATTTCCCTGATGCCAGCCCCTTGCTGGGCATGGGGAACCAAGCAATAAACAAAGTCTTGTCCCTCATGGAGCTGACCTTCTGGTAATAAAGGAATGAAGTCTACAATATAATTTCAGGGAGTAGGTGCTAATAAGGAATATAAAGTAGGAAAGAGGGAGGAAGAGAATGATGGAAGGGCTGGGTTGGGTATGTTATTACAGAGTATCAGGGAGCACCTCTCAGAGGAGGTGACATTTGGCTGATCTGGAAGGATGAGAAGGAGCCAGGCACAGAACGGTTCCATGCAGAGGGAACAGCATGTACAAAGGCCCAGAGGCTGAGAGGGTACAGGTGGGAGAGGGTACAGGCCATATCAGGCAGACTGAGGAGGGAAAGCAGTTTCCATTTTATTCTGAGTTTGCAGAGAAGCGCTTGGCGGAATTTAATACAATGAAAGCCACAGGAGACGGAAATGATATATGGCCATAAGGGAATTCATGATATGAGTTCTTACCTTCAGAGGGCCAAGCACAGTGGGTTACGGAGTAAGGATGGCATCATAGAGAAGGTGGCACTTGAAGTTAAAGCGCAGGAAGGATTTGGCCATGTTGATGTGAGGGTGTTGGGGTGAAGAAGCTTTCTGTGGAAGGGCTGCCTGAGGCAAAGGCCTGAGGTCAAATTCCACTTTAGAAAGTAGAGTCCAAGAGTGTTGTCCCAAGTTGTATGGGCTACTTGGTGATGGGACGGAGCTTCACACCCACAACTTGGACTTCCCCTTGGTATAGAGCACCTTGGACGGAAGGGGGAAAGTTACCCCTCAGAGTGAATGCAGTCCAGTGCCAGGAGGAATGCTGGGCAAGACAAAGGTGGCTGCATCTCAGCGCCCACTCCTTGCCCCCTCTGCACATCCTGTACTATCATTTGAGGGGTGGGGCCCTCACAGCCCCCATCTCCCCCACCTCTTTCCACCTTGGGCCTGCATACACTAGGTCTCCCTGGAGTATGTTGGCCAGGTTTCCTGGCCACCTGCCAACTCCTCACCGCCTTGCACAGCTCCACCAGGGCCCCCGCAGATACTTCGGCTTCCTCTCTCCCTCCCTCTGCCTCCTTTCCTGCTCCAATTGCTTTTCCTGAGTGGGAGGACCCTGTCCCGGCACTCAGAGTCCTTCACTGAAAGCAGTGGGGAGCCCTGGGGCTACATTCACCTGGGCTGGGCCTCCCCAGGAGATCTTGGGCATGTTGGTGGCCTTCTCTAGTTGCAGGTGTCAGCCTACTACACTGTTGTTTAATCCCAAACAGGATTAAAAGCCTAGCCCCAGCCTGGCTCAATAAATGTTGACTTTGCCCTATTCACCCTTCAGCTTCACCTCCCATAACCCATGGGCCCTTGGGTCCATCCATGTATGTGCATGTGGTTCTCATGTGTGTGCAGGTGTGTGTCTGCAGTTATAGATGTCAGCATTTATGTGTGTATCGGGTGTACATTCATTCATTCCACAGATACTGGTGAGTTTTCACTCTGTGCTATTCTAGGCACAATGAAAAGAAACAGAGTCCTTGCTCTTGCAAGTCTAGTGGGGGACAGACAGTAAACAAACAAATAAATAACATGTGAGATGATGGTAACTGCTTCGGAGAAAAACAAAGCAGGGTAAGGGGCACAGACAGTGCTGGGTGGGGGTTTCCTCACTCTCTCTTAATCATCTCTTATAATGATAATGTATACAAGGTGGTCAGGAAAGGCCTCATGGTTAAGATAACATTTCAAAAGAGATTCAAAATGAGGAAAGGAAGGAGCTGGCACATAACTGAGAAAAACATTCCAGGCTGAGGGAACAGCAAGTGCAAAGGCCCTGAGGTCAGTCCATATTTGAGATTCAGGAGGAACAGCAAGGAGCAAGGGTCTCAGGTTTTTACCGTGAGTGAGAGGGACCCCCACCCTCACCTCAGGAGAGTTTGAGCACAGAAATAACAAGTTCTGATTTATGTTTTAAAAGATCATTCTGGCTGGCTGTTGAGTTCAAAATAGAGGGCAGGTGGGCTGGGAGGAGACTAGAGGGCTATTTCAGTATGCAGGTGAGATGGGAAGGTGGCATGGGTCCAGGGGGAGCAATGAGGGTGCTGGAAAGTGAAGCTGCGCCACAGGGTATGTAAATGGCTCATGACCATGCCTGCAGCTTAAGCAGTGGGAATGATGGGGTTTCCTCTCACTGTGCTGAAGACAACTGTGGATTTGGGGAGATCAGGGACTCATCTGGGTGTGTCGCCATCGAGCTCTGGATGTGTTACATTCAAACGCCTATTAGACATCCAGTGGGGATGTCAGGCAGGCAAATGCACCTGCAGGCAGGGGCTCAGGGACTGAGTCTTGGTTGCAGATATAAATTTCAGAATGTATATTATTATGGTCTTCAGAGCCGAGACTGGATGAGTTCATGAAGGAGGAGGCGTAGATGGAACTGAACTGAACTCCCTCAGACCTTTCTGGAAGAGGTCCAGCCCCGCAACATACAGAGACTATGGAGTTGAGGAGGACACAACAGAGACTGGAAGGGCAGGCGGGT